TTATTTGATTGTCCTTTGACCACTTATCTCTCATTTCCTTTCAAGAGTATTGTGTCCAGTGTTTAAAAGAGGACCTGGGAAATATCAAAGATACCCCTCCTTCACTTATTAAAGTCTCTGGGCTGAATGCTGAGCAAGAAAAGACAACACTCTTCATTTCTCCTCCCTGCATATGCCATCAACCACTTTAAAATGTTATGTAATAACGTGGTTGCCAAATGGCAGCTAAAGTCTGCCTGGGTCTCTAGCCTTCTACTCTTAATATTCAGCCTGAGTGGACAGATGAGCGGTCAGGGAAAGATGTTTAAAATTTTCTTTTCCAGCCCTGATCCAGACCATTTCTCTCCTTTCAAGAAACACTCCATCTCAATTATTAGAAGACAAATGAGTATTATTATATTCTTACAGCAGTCTGGGGAAAGAGCTCCTACAGCCACTGCTGATAACCCATTTTCCCTGTAACAACTTCTTTTTCATCAAGAACTTCTACTCTATGCCCAATCTAATTCTGCTAGTTTAATCCCATACTGTTGAATTTCACCCTCTTCCCACCTTGTTGAAACTGGAGAACAGCTTGTGAGCAATCTCTTGATAATAACCTTCCATATGTCTAAAACAGCCTTTTCTTCCCAAAGTAATTAATTCCTCTCCTTCTCTCGTCCCCCCTTTATTTTTTACACTTTGCTGTGTTTCCCAAGCTTTTACACACCTTTGTTTCCCTATGGATCCTCTTTAAGCATTTCCTATTTTTCTGGGGAGATAATACCTTTGCAGAATTAACCAGTACCAAGCATAGCATGTCACAGTCACTGCATGGATAAGTTCTGTACTCAGTATTGTATAATTTTATTTGCAGAGAGATTTCTAGGAGTGTAACTAGTACACTTCTGTTGTATTCTGCTGCAGCAGCCAAAGAGAAACCATTTGATTTTTGCTAAATTCAGATTTAAGTAGAGGTTTCTTTAGAAGAAAATTTGCAGTTTATAGCTTTCCTATTGACTTTGTACTTAACTTCAAATTAGGCAAGTTAGTAAACTTGTGTGACATTAAGAGAGAGTGAAATTCGATAACCTAAAATCATTCGTCTTCTGCTATTTTCCTTTAAGAATACAGAAAAAGTATCAGCTTATATATTTTTAAATTATCTGTGTAACTGTGGCTGCATTAATTTACTGCATTAATTTAATTTATTAAGAACTGAGCACCTGTAGGGACAGATTATATAGAGGTAAATGTACTTTTCAAGAGGAGTAAAAACGTAGTTTGTGAGCAATGGAACAGTATTCTGACATTTTGAATGCATTATTCTTTAACGATCAAAGAAATTCCCCAATGTGGCCTATCAAAGGTTCACGATCTTGTCATGAGTCAGAGAAAATTCAAAAGCAAGAAAATATGCTGTTATTGTCATTTAGTTTCAGTTTAAAGTTGGAACAAAAAGACGGGCAGTAAATCTCTCTAGAGATAAAAGTTGTCTGTGGGAGGACTCCTTATGTCCTGCTGCTTATGTAATGCTGTGTGCTGCTGCTTATGTAATGACTAAGACTGGACTCCAGGCTGTGTGATGCTAGATCCAACCAAATATATGAAGATAGAATGGCATCTCTGAGAACAGGGACTGTGGAAATCCCTGGAAGCTAGTACAGTGCCTGGCACATAGTTCTTAAAACCTCCAGACTTGTATTCAGTTCTAGGTCCTTTCAAGATACTTTAGCCCATTTACATTTATAAGACGGTCTATGCAAAGCCCATTCCTTGCTTTTTGGCTCCTCTGTATTAAAGAATGAATCATTTTTCCTTGAGAGAGGAGGTGTATCTAGGAATGCATTTGATTCAATTAATAACATGATAAAAACGGTGATTTCTAGCAGGAAATCTAGATTACCCCAGTAACTCTGGGAGGAGGTAAGGTTTGAAACAGCAAGATTTTGTGCTTATGATCTTCTTGTTTGCCCTTCAAATATCATTATTGAATCAAATATCATTCTATGTGATATATATTTTTCACTCCGTTCTTTAGCCTAGTATTTAAGTATGGTAAATCTCTCTCATTCTGAACCTCACTCTACCACTCAAAGGAAACAAACCAACCAACAAACTCTTCTTGAGGGTCAATAGATTAAGAGAAGTATTTTGGATTGCTTTTGTTAAATAGTGAGTATGACTTGGACATGATAATAAGCTTTCAGAATAAAATCAAAAGAGAAGGGGAAATCGTAGGTCTAAGAGAGAGAGAGACTTGATGGAGTGAGGCACGAATAGGCAGGAAATTGTGGGGACAGGAATACAAGTGTAAATTTGGGCATTAATGGGAAATGATGAGTGGGCAAGAGGTAGGAGCGTGGAGTGAATATGGGCGGATTTTTTGGGGATTATAAGGGTTAGTCGAGAGGCTGTATGCATAAAGAAGCTAGTATTTATTATTTATCATCTGTTAATTATAAAGAATTGATTGGATTAAGTAGACACAGTATTTCTGAGTTCATTCATTCCTTCAACAAACATTTCCTGAGTGCTGTCTATGTGCCAGGCACTGTGGCAGGCTCTAGGAATATACAAGGGAGGAATGCAGTCATGATTCCTACCTTCATGGGGCTTAAATCTTAATGATGGGGACTTGCTGTCTATTCTGTTTGCCTCCCTTGCCTGTCTTCCTCCTCCTCCCCGAGACTGTCTTGCTTGGTGTACTGCTGACTGCATCCTCTGGACTTGCAAGCCAGCTTCTGGTTGCCTTCAGCCATGAGAGCCACCAGAGGAGACCAGGAAGAATGTGGAAAAAGAAGTCAGGATATGAATTTCCTGATTCTTTCCTCGGCTGTTCTGTTAATGCATCTCTTCATGGCTACAGAGACTACAGCTCCTATTGGGCGGACCCTGACCCACTCCATATCTCCAGCTCTCCCTGGTTCTGGTGACACTGTCTCCTCCTCCTTGCTCATTCAGGCTTAAGGGTGGGAATAACTGCTTGCATCACTAGTCTACAAATGCCTCAGTTTCTTTCTTTGGTCCTCTTAACCCTGCACACGGATCTTCAATTCGTGCCATTACTAAACTCTTTTGAACCATCTGAGTTGGATCCTGTTTCTAGCTGGATTCCTGACCAATACAGAGAATTGTTTTTTTAACTAGAGAAACACATATGTAAATAATTTAAAACCATATTAAGGATTAGGAAGAAAAAATACAAGCATTTAGACAGAGAATAATGGGTGTGAGTTAGATAAAGTTGTCACTAATGGCCTTTTTAGAGGATGATATTTAATTTGAGGGCAGAGGATAAATGAGAGTGAGCATGGAAAGAATGGGGAAGAGTGTTGCTGATGAAGGGAACAGCAAGTGCAAAAGGCATGTAAAAAAGAGCTTGATAGCACTATGCCAGAATTTGGTTATAATACTCTATGAGGAACATTTGGTTAAAACACTGTATGTGGACAGACTGAGGGGAAAATTCAGCTTGAGTGGCAATGTCCTGATAGATATCTAATGACAGGTACTCAAGTTCTTGGATAAAGGCCCACCAGAGAATCATGTACTTGTTAAAGTGGGAAGCAGCTCAGGTGAGCTGTAGGAACTAAGCAGATGCTCAGGTATTAATTTGAAATTGCTGTGATCATTTTGGGACACAATGATGATCTACTCCACAGGATAATGTGCTATAAAGGAAGATATTATTTGCTTGATCTTGTTTACTTTCATCAGAGTGGTAGGTTAGTCTCTAGGTAGAAGTAGATCTCCTATTAACATTTTTTTTTCATAATTGTGACACTTCATAGAAAGAATGTCAAATGAGCAACAGAGATGTTCTTGACAGGCTGTGTGTCTTCTTCATCTTCCTTTTATTAATTTATTTTTAGGAGGGGCATGGGAGAGGGAGTAGCAAAGAAGGAGTGGAGAAGTTAAAGAAAATAAAATATTAAAAGAACATAATTTGACTGTTGAATCCTACCTAGAATGAAAGGGACCTTAAGGATCAACATACTAAGCATATTTCAAGACTTCCAGAAGTAAACATATCTAACTTATTAAATAAACATGCCTGGGGAAATATCTCATATTGTTTTTCTGTCTGTAAATTCAGTTCTCTAATTTGTTTTACAATATGACCTCCCTTTGTTTGTGGTTTTAGTGAAAATTCAGGCATTTAAGAATTATTTAATTGCAGGATATACTAAAACCTTTAGCATCAAGCCAAAGTATACTATTTTTGTATTTATCAGAATTGAGCTGCTTACTCAGGACATTTTCAGACATACTTGACACCACAACATGGGAAAATGGTGGAAAACAAGACTTTTAAGGTATTATTTAATCTTGTGCATTTAACTAATACAGTGGTCCCTTGGTATTCAAGGGAGATTAGTTCCAGGACTCATCACGGATACCAAAATCTGCAGATGCTCAAGTCCCTTAATTGGCTTTCCATATCCGCAGGGTCGACTATATCTTTGGGTTTGGAAGGCTTCCTCAGGTATCTGCCTAAACACCTCCTAGATGAATTTTAAGTACTTGAAATATATTTCTATTTATAGGCATCTTTTGTTTAAAAGATGGACCACACAACAATTTATTTTGTTTTTGGTCTGTTATGATCGTGGTCCTACTTAGATTTAAGCAAAATTGCACATATATGTTATCTCAATCAGTCTTGAAATTAGAAAACATGGTGTTTACTATTTTCATGCCCTAAACTTCCTCTTATTAGCTGAATTTTTCATATTTACTAATATTTTCCTCACCCATAGGCTAAGTCTACTTTAAGCACATTTGTATAGCACGTTTTATCTCTAAGTACTTGATAGTCATGCGCTGGGAGTTAGCTCACCACAACTGAAGTTAAATGATTAGTAACTCTGATAGAGATGCATTTATGCAAATTATAATTATAGAGTCTAGAAAGGACCCTGAGGTCTTATCACCCTAAAAAAACAAAACAACAACACTCTGTTTAAAATAAATCATAATACTCTAATCAAATATAATCAAAATTCCATGCCTGCCTCTATGCCCAATACTCATATTGTAAACATCATTGACAAGTGATTATATATCACGGGATTTAAACCCTCAGAAATAGACTCATTAAGCATAGCAGACATTAGAGTGTGATATAAATCCTCTCTCTGATTTGGGGAATGATTACATGTTGTACATATTGACAGCTGGTGCTATCGTGTTATCATTTCAGGAGATACTGAAGTAATCAATTTGCTCACTACAACTATCATTGTTATGATTTTTATACTGTTGTCTTATTATATCTTATCAGAATTTATATCCTATACATGAGGAGCAGATAGCACCTTACCCTTTTATCTTCTTTTTATTTTCATCATTGCTGAATGAAATTTAAGAATGATACTGAAATTTTAAGACACGTAGGCAAAGAGATGTAAAGCGCTTCTTTTACTTAAAGAAGTTTCCTTTATGTTAAAATGGTAAAATTGTATACATTATTGTTCATAGAAATGACTAGAAAGATAATTATAATTGGTTACTTCATCAATTCCCATTTGCCCTTCTTTTAAAAAACGATAGCTACCGAGGAGCTTCTGGGAAAATGAAACCTCGCAAAATAAGTCATCCAAAAATAAGCTATGTCACATTTTAATAAACAATTGTGTCTAATTATGGAAGAATATGTACTTACTTGCCAAGCGCAAAGCATTCCATCTTAACAGTTGTTCCCTTAGCAGCTGTAACCGTGAAAGGAAAATGGACCTCAATTTTCGGCTCATATTCTCCCATCACACCTGGGAAATAAAGAATAGTCTTTAAGCACAAAATGAAAGTCACAATTTCTTTCCAATCCTGGAGATGTTACAGTGAAAAGCACTGTGGTTTGATTGTTAATGTCTGTTTGATGACTGCTAAATTTTTGATGCATTGAAATAAATACACTTAGGCTCAATCATTATGATGAAATCCTAGTGGTCCCTTAAGGATTGGATTGCCTGTATGTTCAATATCATTTAAGATAAAAATTATTGAAAGTGTTAATCAACACTGGTAGTTTAGTTACTGATTATATTCCAGAGGAAATAAATAACTATGAACATTTCTCATGGTAAATAATTGTGTTGATTTGAAAAAAATACAAGTATAGGTATTAGAACTTTCTTTATCATTGTCATATAAATGAATACTTATTTATTAAGTCAACACACATTTTTTAAATACCCATAATATGTAAGCATTTTGCTAGGCATTGTGGGAGTTACAAAGATAAATCCGCCATGAACTGTGCTCTCAAGCACTCAACAAGTGTATTCTTAAAGGAAGAAACAACATATAATCAAGTATGGGGGAAGAACCATACATCAAAATAATTGTAATGCAAGATAGGAAGTGACGAATGTCACGAATGAGGTACCCCTAAAGTATTATGTGCATTTAAGGGGATTATAAGAATAGTTAGGATTTGGATAAATAGAGAAAAGATAGAAGAGAAAGTAAATGGAACTGTAGGAACAAAGTCAAAGAGATGGGAAACCACCAGAAATAAGAATACCGGTTTTTCTGGCATGTTGGTATATGAAGGGAAATGATATTAGGCAAATTTGTAAATACAAATGGAGTCCAAAAAATAGAGGGCTTTGATTATCAGAATAAGACATTCAAACTTAAATCTGTAAGTAATTCGGACCCATTGGGGTTTTGAATAGAGGACTGGCATTTTGCTCAGATGCATATACTGGAATTGGAGCAGAGACTGATAAATCAATTACATATTGTATGACACAAGGTAGAAGTAATAAAGGCCTGGACTTGAATTATGGTAGTGAAAAAAGAGAAAAGGCACTAGATGGGAAAAACCAAGAAAGAATTGAACTTGGTACACAATGATGGTGCTGGGGATAAGGATGTGGGCCTCGTCAATAATAACACTAAGGAGGAGTTAGGGTAGTTTCCAGCCGGGGGGAAATTGGGCTACATCAATGAAAGAAAAAAGAACACAGCTACAGTGGGAAAGCTGATGACTTTCATTTTAGGAGTATTGAGTTTGATACCTATATGACATTCAAAAGAAAGTGGCCAGATAACGCAAAGACAGAATGAAGCTCAAGATGAGTTCTGGACTGGTGATACACACTTAGCGTCCTCATTTGGAGGCAGCAATTGAAGCCATGATGTTGGGTGGGCTTTCACCTATCAAAACATAACGCACTAGATGAGGACTGGTGAATTCCAGGGCTAGTGCCCTCAGGCAGCCCTGGAGCTAATTTCCTCCCCAAAATAATTTTTAGGAGATCCCTGTGTGTAAAGCACCACAGAGGACACAGTTATGATTTAGCACAGACACTTCTTTGAGGAGCTTGTGTGTGTGTCTGGGGGTGTCTATGTTTATGCCCATATGTGTACATATAGGTCTGTGTGTGATTCCTTTGTGCATGTGTGTGGGATAAGAGAGAAGAGAAGAGGAAAAAACCCAGACAGAGTAAAATAAATGCTATACGATATGACGGCAAGATGCACTGGACGTGCAAAGGGAGAAAAGGTTACCTTTGGCAAAGAAAACCTTTATGTGTTCATTTTTTGTCTATTTATTATTATTGATTTGAGCTGAGCCTTGAAGGAAGAATGTGGATAACTTTAGATGGAAAGTGTTTAAGTTCACTGAGAACAGGAAGATTATCTTTCCTCTTTTTGCTAGTTTTTTTTGCAAAGCAATCATAGAGAAACTATTACTGATGTTTTCATCAAAGAGATTGGGCTTCTGGATCTGGCTCTGCTAACTAGACTGTACCATCTCTGACACGTTAGTGACCTCTGTGTCTCATTTTTCTAATCTATAAACTGAGGGACTAGAAGAGAATTACAACTAATGTAATGTCCTGCTCTAACAGGCTAACTCCCTGGATTGTTTCCCAGTTTAATGCTTGCTGTGCACCAAGAGTCTGATAAATAGCAAGTGAAGTGAGTGGTTAGTACTATTATATCATTCAAAACAGATGTTTAAGGACTTTGTCTCTATCTCTTTCTCAGTAATGTTTTTCTCTTCTACTTCTTTTTTTATATCCTCCTCCTGACCTCCTCCTCAAACTTTCCAACTTCCTTTCTTTTATTTCCTCGTGTCTTCTTTTTTCCTTATATCTCTCCTGAATAGCAAGATTTGGCCTGCTAGTGGTACCTGGCTGAGTGTATCCAATGATGAGAAGTTTATCTTCAATGCCCTCCGGTAAGCTCCCATATGAGGACTCCCAGGCACCCTGTTCAGTGGCTACCTTTGACTGCCTACCTGAAGCAGTCCCTAAAGTCAGCTTCTGATCTCCCCATCCACTCTTAACATTGATTCTGTAGTATTCTTGTTCCTTGTCTGCCTGTTAATACGATGATTTAATAATGCATGATTTATCACGAGGCTTATTAAACTTAAGCTTATTAAACTTAATATCCTTACTTCCACGGGTTCCCGTGAGTGCTGGCAGTTGCTGAGTGCTGTGGAGTGTTGCAGAAGGGCAGTGAAAGTCAGGCTGAATTTAGAAAATATTTCTATATAATCATTTCCAGTAAATTCCTTAAAGAGGTCTCAGAAGAAAGGGACTTGAATCTCCAAAGCTCTAGTAATTTGTGTTGATTTCCTATCCTAAATAAAAATTCCCTTTAGAGTCCACTTTTATATTAATACTTTTGTATTCTTTTTACTAAAGAGGATCCTATAATTGTACATTTCAGGTCCTTTAAAACCTGGATAATATCAAAGTGTTACTGAAATTATTGGCTAATAGGAGCAATATCCATGTATTCTCTCTCTTCTCTTCCAGGTAAAGTTTGTGAATTGCAAGGAAGACATTCTTTTATAGCTTTAATCCTTAAGAACGACTCAAAGGATGGGCACTCCTGGTAGTATTTGGGAGGTAATTTTGTCCAGCTAGGGCCTTCTGGTGTTTCTTAAATGATTCCTCTTTGGCCCAAGACATTATTAAGCCTCACTGCAGGGCCCAAGAAGTTTGCTAATATGTGAACTAGATATTAAAATTAAAATTAAAATGTTTGAATAAGAGGCTTCAAATTCTATTACCTAATTTGAGCTGTACTGTAAGAAATAAAAAGTTCTTTTTAATTTTACTCTGATAGTGATGATATAAGAACAGATGGGAAAGCTCTTTAGATATGTCTTGCTCTTTAACAATTTATTACATTCTGGAACTAAGTTTTGTTTTATATTTCATTGGATAATTATGTTAGAGCTAAAGTTCAACTTAGCTTATATAATTTACTCTCTTTCTTTTAAAGATGAGAGAGCTAAGAGTCAAAGGGTAGTGGTATTGGCCCAAGGTTCTGTAGAAAGCTGTTGGTGGAAATGGGGCAAAAATAGGAGTTTTCTGACCTTAAGTCTGTGGCTATTTTCTTGACATCACTCTGTTGAGGGATTTCAATCACAGCGTATAACAGTTCAGGCACACCACATGTACTACATCAATCATTGATTGCCTGCCATTGCTACTCAGTTTATTTCAGCTGCAATTTTTAATATCTCAAGTCATATGCAGCTTAGCTTGTAATTTCTTTTGTTGGGTGGGGTATGATTATGAAAGGAAAGGGAAAAAGTCTTATAAGACACATAGCTAAAGATCAAAATATTAGGCTTATCTCTTCAGTCAAGGTAGCTCTTTTATTTTTTGATGGCCCCTAGTATTAAGTTAAATCTGCTCAAGAGACACTGCACTGCATCTTCATCTCTTTCCCCACACCCATCTCTTCTGGCTTAGTTGGCTGCCTTACTTTGGAATTACATGCCATTAAAAGATGACCTCAAATTACCCTAATTACTAATAAACAGAAGCCTTCCAGCTGAGAGCACATTACTCTCTTTCTATGTCTTCATGGTTGTTGATTTTCTTATTTATTCCAATTAGTTACAAAGAGCTAGAGTGCTTTTCCATAAGTGGAATGCAACTTGGAGCAGTGTTTCTCCAAGTACATTGCCGAAGAGAGAGCCAGTGACAATCAGAAAAATCTGGAAAACTTACTAAAATTTCAGGCTACAGCGTCCAACTCCAAGCCTAGTGATAAATTACCGTTGAAGGTGGAGCTACAGACTCTCTATTTTAATGATTTTCCTAGGTCATTTTACGTACATTAAAGAAATTCGAAGTTCGACCTGCCTTAATTATGATTTTTATCATGTTGTCACATTGCATTCATTGATGACTTGCCCTAACAGTAGGACAAATTCTATTCAAATATAGGTACTAGTACTCATACCAGAGCTGGTTTTTTTTTTTTTTTTTGATTGTCTGGAGATCAGTTCTGATTGGTCAATGTCCACGTGATAGTAGTTGTTAAATATTTTAAATGACATTTATGTCTGACACTCATGGTAACACTCATTTCTAGGGTCAAGAATTCATGTCCAGTAAACCTTAAAAAACTGGCATAGCTAATGAGTTAAAAGGTTTGGCCAATCATTTTCTTATGTCCAAATAAAGGATATTTACATTTTTGTCTTCAACACCTTTGCCAATTGTACTCAACATCTGTTTCTTGTTTTCCAAGAATAGCAGCTATATTCTCAGTGCTTCTTTTGGGAAATGCCTCTTTCATCTTCTCTAACCTTGAGTTGAACAGGAGCCACTATCTTCTTATAGGTTCTGCTTTCCTGGCTGTGGTTATTAGCTTATTATGGGCATCTGATCCAACCTTGGCCAGTTAGATTACCCCATTGCTCTTGTACACAATGTTTGATTCATGGATGGGCAGCTGAGGTTGGGATTTTTGAACTAGAAAGTTCAAATTTTAGTTTCTCTTT